ATTGAAGGAACTTCACTTGGAATTAAAAGAGCTGAAGGAAAGGGGAGGGGAGAAAAATACAGCTGATAGACATTGTGATTAATACATTTGAGGCACAAAGGACATTAAATGGAACTGAAACTTAAATGTAATGAAACCAAGAGACAGCAAGCCTATGTGCAATTAGCCTACAAGATTCACTGCCACAAACTGTAATGGAGGCCAAGAGCTTGTCACCAAAAATGTGAGAATATTCATATATATACACACACACAGAGATAGACAATCACCTACACACATGAACGCTTATTTATGTATATACTTACGGTCTCTCAAGGCTGGAAAGGACTTTGCACTACCAAAAGACCATTCAGTCTTTTCCCCAGCTGTAAGACAAGATCAAATAGATGGCGGTATTTTCTGACAGATGTTTGTCTAGACCTGTTTTTAACAGAGAATCTCCCACCTCCCCAGGCAATTTATTCCAAAGCTTCCTTTTCTTCTTCAGCTTTATACACACATGCACACGTATATTTATCTCAGAAGGTGAGCAGAGCAGTCTCTGATGACTTGCACATCAAAAGGCTTGTTAACTCATTTCTCACGGCAAGATCTTTATTGTGAATGATATACGAGCCCTGAAGATCCCAACCTGACCCGAGATGACAGGCTGAGCTTGGGGGACCAGCAGATGGGGTAAGGGGGAAAATGGGAAAGGAGGGAGAAATTCAACCTTTTCCTTATTAACCCATCAGGTTTGGTCTGCTGATGAAAGAGATATACTCCATTTTTAGACTCAAACATTAAGTTCCTCTCGTTTTGGTAAAATAAATACACTTTTGGCTTCCTCAGCAGCCACCTCAGAAGATATGTTGTCCTGTCAAACTAAAGTAAGGCAAAAGAGGAGATGAGGAATGAGGCTTCACAGCTGGAATATGTAAATGACAGGATGGAGAGTAACACTTTTCCAGCCACCCTGGATATCTATTACCTCCACTTTCGGACTGACAATGCACCAAATGTTTCATTGCCTGGGGCTTTACAAAGCTGATCAGCTTTTTTAGCTGAAAGCACTAATGTAGAAAGGCAATTGGGAATTAATTATTTAATGTGGTTCTCATTGGTAGAAAGCTTCCACTCCTCCTGCATCTCAGCTACCATTATACATATGTTGCTTTCTTCAGACTACAGTGATCAGACAGAAGCGGAAAATTATGGTTAAATCCCACTCCCACTTGAAATGAACTTCATTTAAATCGACAGATTTGCACTCAATAACTAAGAGGGCAGTTTAGCCACATGCTAGAAAAAACAACATTTGTGTCAAAAACCGTAGGCAGATCTCAGCATCTCCATTTCTGAAAATAAGCCGTCTCATACCTCCGCTCCCAAGCCCTCTCTTTCAAGCAGCCAAAAACTACTCCTATTTAAAAATTAAAATCCACGCAAGGAGCCCTATTAGTAGGAAATCAGAACAAGCTCCCTTTAATGTGGTTGTTCAGATACCCCACTAGAGCAGGCGGAAAGGTGTATCCTGGATCTGCACCACGTCTTGGTTCAGCTCCAGCTTCTCTGGGTTCTCAAGATAAGCATCTATTTCATTTAGAGCCTTTTTAGTTATGACCTGCATAGAAGCAAATGTCCTTTTGAAGATCCTTCTGCAACAGCTGCATGCCAGAAACCCCCGTCCAAATTGCTTTAAGAGCTTAAGGATCAGGCCCTGTGTATTTAAAACATAAAGCTTGCAAAATAGGGTTCTGCAGCAGGGCTGAGAGGGGGCACAGCTCACACTGTCAGCTGCCGTAAGTGGGAAAATGGTGAGTTCTTCCCCACAGTCACCACCTCTGGAACCATTCCTGATGAAGCCCCAGCAGGATCCTACTGAAATTCAGCGTAGTGAATTACACCAGGAACTAATTTAATGTAACGTGTTCTGTATTTCCAAACACAAAATATACTGGGTTTGTTCTTTTTTTGGCTGTTCAGAAGAAAGAAATACAACTGTACAGATGTGCTTTTCTAAGATCCAGTGGCATGAAACCTGAAATAGCTCAGTGAGATTCAGGAGTGGGAAGTTTTAATCACCATGGAAGCACTACGCTTTTGAAGGTCTATGAAATTATATATCCAGGTCTGAGAAGGGTAAACTTATCCGTCTGGGCAGATCTGCTGATAAACAGAGACAACTCATTTTCTCCTGGAAAGCTGTGTTATATGTTGTTTGAAAAAATAATCGGTTGTTAGAGAGGGGTTTAGGCTGAGAAGATAAAAGAGGAAAACAAAACAACCCAACAGCGCTGGGGGAGACTTTCTGTAAGGCAAAAGGAAAGGCAGCGTGAAAGTATTCCCTTCATTTAGGTGATTCCCTGCAAACTCAGGAGGCACAAGACAGGCTGAGCACCTCTCAAGGCCAGACTGAGTGAGGCTGGCGATGACGGAGGCATATGGAGACCCACCCAGGGCGCAGAGAGAGCGGAGGACCCCCAGACCTCGGCTTACGCAAGGTGACCTTTCCCCTCTCTAAAATTTCAAAGCTGGCGTTGCGGCGCTGAACAGACTGTGTGCCATATGTAACATGACCTCAGCTCCGCTCTGCCAAGCCACTAATGGCATCACTAATGAGGGGTGAAAGGTCCCTTTCCCGCAGCTTGCTCAGAAACCCACCAAGACGGCGGGTGCAGGATGGGCCCCCAAACTTCGTCCCCTGACCCCTTATCCCCACAGGCTGCCCAGCCACAGGGCCCAGCCACCCTCCCAAAATCACTTGTGCCCATGCAAGGGGTTGACAGTGCCTCTTCCCTTGGCCCAGTCAAAGCCAGCAGCTCTTCCGGCAATGAAAATATTCATTCAGCGCCCAAATGCAAAGCACAGAGGCAAATTGAGCACTGTATGTAAATTCTGCCCTGCGCCCTGCTCCCACCCCACCAACCTCCAGGTAGTGCCTTGTTCATCACCTGGGTACGGGACATGGATTTGGGCTGGAAGATGGCACAGAGCTGTACCCAAAAGGGGCGGGTTTGCACCCTGAATCACACTGCAGCTGCAGGGACAAGGTGGTGAGGCCTAGGTTGGGGGGGGGGGGAGTGGGTGATGGGGTTCCCTCTGTCCCCCTGGAGACTGCCCCAGGCTACCCCCTTCGACCATGGGGGGCCCTTCCTGGCCTGGACACTGGCAGGAGCAGAGGGGGAAGCCTGGCAACCCCCTTCTGAAAAGGCTTTCACAACCCCCTCCTCAATTTAATTTTTTTTTCCAGCTTTTAACAAGAAAATCACTGCAACGCCTTGCGCGCACCCTTTTTTCTCTCTTTTTTTTTTTTTTTTCCTTTCCCCACTCCCCCCTTTTTTATGTTTTGGTTTTGGTGTTGGGTTTTTTTTTGTGGCATTTTGAGGGTGTTTGGTTTGGGTTGAGTTTTTTTGGGTTGTTTTCCCGGTTTACCCAGTGTCTGCACCTCCTGCCCCAGCATCACCTAAGGAACGATGCCACTCCCGTGCACCCGGCTTCCAGCCCCGGCCACGCGCGGGGAAAGCCCGTGTGCGGAGGGGGGGATGTCCCTGCCGCGGGTGGAATGGGCGGGTGTCGCCGCGCGTGCACCCCAAGGGTGCAGAGGGGCTGTCGTGCCCCCGGCTCCCGCTTTCTCCCCCTAAAATCACCGCGCAGGCTTCCGCGGGTTTGTCCACGCGTGGGTGCGCGGTGCCGCCGCGGGCGCGGAGGGCAGGCAATGTCCATGGTTTGTTTCACTTTAGCGAGTGACTCACCCGTGGCCATGCGGCGCCGCTGGGTTGGAGCAGCGAGAACCCACCCGCGCTGCACGAACATCCCACCCGCGGCAGCGCTCCTACCTCCCCACGCAGGGCCAGACCCGGCGGCAGACGGGGCCGTCTTCAACCCTCACTGCTTTTCTGCTGGGGATTAATTTTTACATCGCATCCAAGCGCGGAGAAACTGAATTATTCGTTTAAACAGTTAACCCCCCTTCCAGCACACCCTTGTTTTATAGGAGTGCAGCCGAAGCTGTTGCGTTGCACTGGAGCATATTCCGCAGCAGAGGGGCTGCAGAGGGGCACCCGGGGAGTGTTTTTCCCCCACGGAGGAGCCGCACCTCGGTGGAACCTCCCTCCGGTGCTACGGGAAGGCTGCGATCGATGCCGCTGCAGCCAGCGCCCAGCTTGAGTTGCATTAGCTTATTTAAAAAAATGGAAAATAAAATAAAAACGGGCAGAAATTGCAATTATCATTGTCTCGGGTTACGGCAAATGCCATTATGCTGAGAAATGGGAGGAAAACAATGCCGCGAAAATGCGAACAGCTTTGGTAATAACGCTTTGCTGCGCGGGTCCCTGCGCGCCCGCGGAAGGCTTCCTCCCCCATCCCAGGCTTGGAGCTCTCACCCGCGGCGTGGGGCAAAGCTCCCCGCGTGCGTGGTACGGAGCCAACAGGCAGCACGGGGATTCTTGGGAGGTGTGAGAGGATGGAGATGGAGAGTCCCCCTTTGTATGGGGCGTCCGCAGCTGGCGGAAGGAGCTGCGCACCCCGGAGGTGTGTGGGTACCCGCGGGTCGTGTCACGGACACGAACAGGAACCCACGGGGGAGATGCAGCATAGCCGGTGCCGGCTGGAAGGCAAACCGGCGGGCTTCCGTGCAGAAAAGGAGTTAAACCCTGCCGTTGTCCTTTGATTTAGGAAACGGCTCATCCAATTCAGTTCCAGATTATTCAGGGGCAGACTTGCCTCCCTCGCTCCCTCTCTCCCCACACCAGCCCAAACATCTTGAAGTAATCAGCAGCTGAGAACGGAGACGTCCCCCTGGCATCTCAGGTTAAAGAAGGAGGTCCAGGAAAATGTGGTAGAGCCATTACAAGAAACCTGAGATGCATTCATCAGAGACTCCAATTGCCATCGCATTAGGATTGATTAGAGACCAGCAGTACCGTAATGACCCGGAAAGCGGGGCATACGGGGATTATTAATATCAGACTTCTTAAAAAAAAAAAAAGAAAGAAAAAGAAAAAGAAAAAAAAAGAAAAAGAAAAAGGAGAAAAAGAAGCAAGGAGGGAAAATTTAAAACACAAAAGCACATCGCGGGGCTGCTGCTCATATGCAGACTTACCTGAGGAGCACAGGCACTGGAGAGCCGCAGAGACGGTAATTTATCTAACTTCTGGGGAAGAAAAAGCAAACAAACGTGGGGAAACCCCTCCCTCCAGACCCCTTGAGCTCGCCCGCTCCCATGCACGGCTCTCCCCGGCCCCCTCCCGGGTGGCGGGCACCGGGCGGGGGGCCGTCGAGACGTCGGCCCGCTGCCGAGCTCTGCCACCGGGCCATGGGCAGCTGGTCCCTGGGCTGGCAACTGCAAGGACAAATTAAGGAGCCTCTAAAGAGAAGCAAGGAGACCTCGGTGGCTCGTCTCCTTCCCAGTTCCCTGCGCCAAAACAAATCAGCCCCTCCTGGTCTCGGTTTAAATGTAGCTCACTGGATAATTAACTCCATCTTTCCAGCTCTGCTCTAACTGTTTATTTAGTGTCACCCTGTATTACCATCACTAGCACTTTCCTCTGAACAGGAGGAGCTGGAGGGTTTCACCTCCCAAAAGGAAATTCTTCATAGCTTAAAAGAATCAGCATCCAGAGAGTACACTGGGGAGCAGGAAAAGGGGGAAGACGGGGAGGGATGTCTCACGGCATAAGCAGGAGGAAATAAGTGTGTGTGGGGGGACAGGGACAGAAATACTTATCTCGGAGAGAAAATAAAAATAAAAACAAACCCCCCAAACCAAAGCGTAATCACCTCTAATCCTTTGAAAAATGTCCCGGTGAGTGCGCAAAGAAAGAGCCCTTTGTGCCCTGGGGATCGCCCTCGTCGGGACCACGCCGGGAAGGCCTTAAACTGCCCCATGTCCCCCGACCCATTCCGGCCCGTCTGGGCTCGGCCCGGTCGGGCCGGTCCTTCCTTCGGCAGCCTCGGCCCGGTCTGGCCCTCTCGGAGTGGGGCCCTAGGAATGGAGTACCCGGGGCACAGGCACTGGGGGCCCGGGCAAGGACACGGTCCCGTCGTCCCCGGCCCCCCCTTGGGTTTGTTTTTACAGGTGCCTGGAGGGCAATTTACTCTCGAGTCATTAAAGGTCGCACACCAGTTTGCAGGCGCGTAGGGCCAAAGGCTCCTGCTAGAGAAGAGCGATGCATACGGAGAGGGGGTTGCCCTTCCTCATTAAAAAATAGAATAATAAAGGGGGGGGGGGCAGAGGGAGAGAAAGAAAACACAAATCCTTTATTGTTCGGCAGAAGCCGGGGCGCTGGCTGTCTCCCCCGTGCATTCGGCGGGGAAGGCGGCGCGGATCCGGTATCACGTTGCAGATCCTCACTCCAGATAACGAAATGCGATCTATTTTTCAGAACAGCAAGTGGATGGGAAAGGAGCCCTCTACAACACAAACCTCATTGACTTAATGGGCCGGTTTTGGATTTCGCCTTCGAAAGGTTCGGAAAGCGGCAGCGTTGTGTTACTGCCCCGCCGGCTCCAGCCCCGGTTATCATCCCCGTGAGACCGGGATCCGGAAAATAAAAATGTCGCTGATTTGGTTTTGTTGCGCTGTTTGTTTCCTCCAGACCCTCACACTTAGAGAAAATAAATACTAAATTTATTTTTGGTTGGGGAAGAGCTTTATTTCTAAGGCCTGGAGGGGGGGGGGGGGGTATGGGAGTCGTGTTCGGGTTATTTTTTCTGCTTTGTTTTACATTTCTGGAGAAATCAAGGAAAACTCACTGAGCGCTGCACGGGACCCGTCCTCATCCCCGCTCCGCGCTCTCTAACACTGCATCGAACAAATAAGCGAATAAATGAAATTTCTGGCACAAACCGAGCCGATGGGTGCCCCTGCAAGCGAGGCAACGGGCAGGGGGGCCCGTGGCCGGCCGCCTCCTCTCTGCTGACACGGAGGTGCCAGGCCCCAGCCCCGGTGGGGGAAACGAATCGGCGGTGCAAAGACACCAGTGCCGGGGGACGGTGGTAATCCCGTCGGACTGCTCCTTATTCCCTCTCTTCCTCGAAAACAACGACCGAGGGGCCGCGGCGGCTCCGCGCAGATGGGGTGTTGCTGCTATTTCTGTATTTGCATTCGCTTATTTATTATTTCTTTTTATTTCTTTCTTCGGAGTGGCTCGAAACTATTTTCTTCCCGGGTGATTTTCAATGGCTAAATGGGATGGGTGCTTTGGGAATTCATGTACTTCTTTCCTTGCTTTCTAGTGAAAGGTTTCAAATTTATCTTTCTTTTCTTAATGAAAACCAACCCTCCCTCAATAATTAACATTGGTGCTGACCGGGTCCCGCCTGGGGTGTGTGGCTCCCAGGTAGACCCCGGCGAATCTGTCCGCTCCTTGTGTCCATTTTTGGTGACACGGAAAATTAAAGTCTCTCTCAGAAATCGCGGGGAAGCTCAGCCCTCGCCCATTCCTGTCCGCTCCACCGCTGGACGCATCAGGATAACTTGCTTAGTCCAAGAGTGGTGTTTGGTGTGGCCGGCCTTTTAAGGGGAGGGGGGGGAAACCCCACAAAAAAAGAGTAAAAAATAAAGAGGGGAGATGTGAGAGCAAGAGAAACCAGCTCTCAGTAAATTACAAGGAGCTTCCACAGCCCCGGTCTGCATTTCTCTCCTCATCGTCCTGACGGTACAAACGCTCAGGTCCGTGCTTTTCGCTGAGCACCTTATTAGAAATAAATGATATAATAATTACAAATTAATGCGAACAAAAAGGACGACCTCTCGGGCTGAGCAGGGCGCTGCTCCTCCAGGACGGGGGCTGCGAGCCCAGGCGTTATAATTCTGCGCACTTGCTCCAGACTTTAGGGTATTAGTTGATTCTAGAGCCGGGTTTAAGGCTCCGTTCCGGTCCCCACACAGCTGCCTTGTCAATAAGGATCTGTTCCAAGCAGACATTCCTTCTGGGAGGACATTGCAGCTCTTTAAGACTTCATCTGCAACATCATAAGTACTAAAATAAAATGGTAAGGGAAAATTACCAGACACACGGATATGGGATATAGAAGCGCCCTGACTCCAGCGAGCATAGTAAAGTCACTGGACAGACTGGGTGGCAGAGGCTTATTTTAAACAGCCCCGCTCCGCGAAGTACGTGCGGAAAAACCCACAACAATCCGGATTTAGGAAAATATCGCGACCGGCCTTTCCCGTATCGTACCGCGGGCAGAGGCTGCGGGCAGGGAGAGGGCAGCAAGAGCCCTTCTCCGCCTCTGCCACGGATAGGCTGTACGTAAGATTGAGCATTTAAAGTCAAATAAATCCGAATGTCTTTAGCGAAGACAAACAGGTTTTAAAGAGCCCCGCGATGGTTATTAGAGCCCCCGGAGCAAACTCGTTCTCGAATCAAAAGCGTTCTGGAGCCTGCTTGAAATACGGGTTTCGTCTTATCTAATCAAAGATAAATCCAGCCATAAAGACACCCCCTTCGCACCGCTCCCCTGCCCTTATCTACCGTCATTGTCCTCAGTTCCCAGCCCATCCCTGCTACTGACAATGGATTATCTTTGTTTAGGGAGCCTAATTGTTTTCTAATTTTTTATATAATTGCTTTTGAGCGAGGTGTGCAAATGAGGATTAGGCTAATTAAAGCGCCGCCGGCCCGTGCAGCTCTGCTGCCTGCGCTGCTTCCGTGGGGGAGACTCCGCGGGCCCCCCCCTCCGAGCTCCCCCAGGGCCGAGCGGAGCCAGAAGGGCCGCAGGGGCGGGGGAGGGGGCGCAGGGGCCCTGCGCATCACCCAGCTCCTCACTGAAGCATCATTTATTCAACCCAACGCTATGTTAATTAAATACGGGACGGCTTGGCAGGGGACGGGAGCGGGCTGGGGAGAGCAGGAGTTGGGGGGGGATAAAGAAAAGTTGGGGAAAGAAACGCAAAATCCGCCGGCAGCGGCTTCCCCGAGGTGCGCCCGGGGGCCCGGGCAGCGGGGCTCCCCCCGCTCCGCCTACAGGGCCAGGGCCGGGGCCGCACCCGCGCAGAGGCTGCGGCGGGAAGCGCAGCCGCGGCTGCTGGGGCCGGGTTCCCAACGCCAGGCCCCGCCCGCCCGTGCCGAGGCTCTGCCCGCCGGGCCGGGTCGGGCTAGGCTTGGGGGGGGGCCGGGCTGGGCTGGGCTGGGCCGGGCCGGGTCGGGCCAGGCCCGCCACGGCGGGGGCCGAGCCGCGGGCGCCCAATCAGCGCGGCGCGGGGGCTCGGGCGCTTTAAGCGCGGCGGCGGCGGAGCCGGGACAAAGTCCCCCCGGCGCCGCGACGAGCATCCCCGCTCGCCCGCCAGACCTGGCTGTCGCCTCGCCTCCCAGCTCTGGGGCCGCGACCAGGACAGCGACCGGGTCAGGCGGGCGGCTTCCCCACGCCGCTCCGCAGCCGAGCTCCCGCGGGGTGCCTGCAGCCACCTCCTCCTTCTCCTGCCGCCGCCGTGCCCGGCCATGTCGATGCTGCCGTCCTTTGGCTTCACGCAGGAGCAGGTCGCCTGCGTCTGCGAGGTGCTGCAGCAAGGAGGGAACCTGGAGAGACTGGGCCGGTTCCTCTGGTCGCTGCCGGCCTGCGACCACCTGCACAAGAACGAGAGTGTCCTGAAGGCCAAGGCGGTGGTGGCCTTTCACCGCGGCAACTTCCGCGAGCTCTACAAGATCCTGGAGAGCCACCAGTTCTCGCCACACAACCACCCCAAGCTCCAGCAGCTCTGGCTGAAGGCTCATTACGTGGAAGCCGAGAAACTGCGGGGCAGACCCTTGGGCGCCGTCGGCAAATACCGCGTCCGCCGAAAATTCCCTTTGCCCCGCACCATCTGGGACGGCGAGGAAACCAGCTACTGCTTCAAGGAGAAATCCCGGGGCGTGCTGCGGGAATGGTACGCCCACAACCCCTACCCGTCCCCCCGGGAGAAGCGGGAATTGGCAGAAGCCACCGGTCTCACCACCACCCAGGTCAGCAACTGGTTCAAGAACCGAAGGCAGCGGGACCGAGCGGCGGAGGCGAAGGAAAGGTACGTGCCACCCCCCCCCCCCCCGCATCCCCTCTTTCCCCCTCTTTTCTCCCCGCTCCCCCGAACGAAACTAACTCACTCCCCCAAATCCATTTCTACACCCGCCCCCTCCGCCCACCCCCAAGCGCCCTGCGTTTTGCCCTTTCGCGGAAACCCAAGTGGATTTTCCACCCGAGATCCACCGGACCCAGTTTCCCACCTGCCCGGAGGGAGCAGCAAGTCCCTCACCGGCCTCTCCAGGCCGCTCCGCCGTCTTTGTTTGCTTGCATGCCGTCCGGAGTAAACCGGGAACGAGGCAGTCCCGGAGCCTCCGAGGAAGCGGTCGGGTATTGCCGGGAATCGGGCACGGTAACTCCGAAGCCCGGAGGAGGAGAAAGAAGTCCCAGGATGGAGAGGGAAGGAACCGGAGGGTGACCGGGATGGGGACGCGCTGGCCGGGCCGAGTCGCCGCTCCGTATCGAGACCACCCTTGGCACCCCCGGCGGCGCCGCCCGGGGTGGCCTCCTTGCGAAGCGCGGCTCGGCCCGGCGAAGCTGACAACCACGGAGGGCAGCGCCCCGCTTTTTGTCTCCTCCAGCAACCTCCCCGCCGAGCCTCGTAGAAAAAAATCCCCCACCCTGCTCGTCCCCGGGCCGCGCTTTCATTTTGAGTTAAAAAGAGAAAGAATCCCCCCCCCCCCAACTTTTCCTTCTCACCGAAATTACCGAGCTGTGCGGTTCACACCTATTTCTAGGAGGGTAAAAAGAAACAGAGATGGTCCGTTATGAAAATATTAGGCTCTTTTACATTTTTGTTTTCTTTCCGGAGAGAGGCATCTGCTGCCACGATGAAATAGAACGCAAAAGATTTACTGGGGGCATCAGCCCAGGGCCCATACCCGGCGCCTCTCGCCCGCCATAACGTCCCATTTGTGGGTTGTTGTTTTTTTTGCCTTTCTGCAGGGAGAACACGGAAAACAACAACGCGGCCACCAACAAGCCGAACCAACTCTCGCCTCTGGATGGGAGCAAACCCCTCATGTCCAGCTCCGAGGAAGAGTTTTCTCCTCCCCAAAGCCCGGATCAGAACTCGGTCCTGCTCTTGCAGGGAAACCTCAGCCACGCCAGGAGCTCCGGCTACTCCCTGGGCGGCTTGGCCGCATCCCAGACCCCTCACAGCCTCCAAGGCCACCAGCTCCAGGACTCGCTGCTGGGACCCCTCACGTCCAGCCTGGTGGATCTGGGATCCTAAAGGCCCGCGGCGGGCTGGCAGAGGGTCGGGAGCGGCGGTTCCGCTCTGGGACAGAGGCTCTGGGTTGTACATAGAGGACAGCACCCGGGTTTACAGCTCACCCGCTGCTTCTTGACGGGACTCTCGGCTCTTTTCACACAACCCCACGTCGGCTCCTGGTCCAGTTCCCTCCCAGTGTCTCCCACTATCATCACCATGATTGGGTTTTTTTATTTCTATTTTTTTTTTCCGCGTAGCCAACGCAGGGAGCGGCTGAAACCCTCAGCCCTTCAAGTTCAGCCCAGCTGGTCCCAACGGGAATTACAAAAAAGAGAGAGGGGAAAAAACAAACCCAACCCCAGCTGGATCCGATTCCACCCAAACAAATCCCAGCCCCGCGGGCGCGGAGGGGCCGGGGCGGCCGCCGAATCCCCGCTGCTGCCCGGTGTGTCCCTGCGGGGCCGGCGCTGAGCTGGGCCGGGGGCAGAGGGAGCGACTCGTTGCGCTGAGCCCGGCGTTGTGGCGGGAGGAGGGAGGGGAGTTACGTTTACATTTTTCATATTTAGCCTTACCGGAAAGATTTTGATGTAGTTTAAATTAAAAAAAAAAAAAAAAAAAAAGAGAGAGAGAGAGACAAAAGCTGCAGTATTAGAGGTTTACCAAGTGCCTATGTCTTAACGCGGCCGGGGCGTAAGGCAGGCAGCGAGCGAGCTCCCGCCACCCCCGGCTTCCTTCTAATCCGTGGTGAAATGCATCGATGTGGCTAAAATTAGGGTAATAATTAATAATAAGAGCTGGCGGCCGCTTCCCCCCGGACGGGTGCTTCTCGGGCTGCCCCGGCAGGTCCCCGTTGCCCGCTCCCGCCTGGCCCCGTTCTCTGCTTTCCCCTCCGGCTTGCAGAGAGCCCGCGGATGACGAGTATTTGTTACCAAAAATCGCATGTGCTTTCAGGTTTATTTTCTATTGTACCTAAACAGTCTAAATTAAACAACGCTGATGGCAGAACACCCAGGCTGCGGTTTTCTTTGCCGGGGCGAGCCCCTGTCCCTCTGCCTACCCTTACCCCCCACCCGGCGGGCGCTTCGGGGCTGAGGGGGCAACCGGTGCCTTCCTAACCGAGGGGGGATGGGGATGGGGCATCCGCAGAGCCGCTTGCTGGGGGTTGCACGGCCGGGAGGGAGCTGCTCCTTCCCGTCGCCCGCCCCGTCGGGGCCTCGCTGCGGCCAGGCAGCCGGTGCCGGTCCCCCCCGTTAGCGTTTTGCATCATTAAGTGCGTGTTTATTTAAGTCGTTCCCGTGTTTGTTCTCGGTGTCTTGGGCCATGGAGAAATGTCACCCTCTGCAGGAGGGTCCTGCCAGGCCGGAGCTCTCCGCGTCCCTCCCACTCAGGCCCGGGCACACGGACACGCTCCAGGGCCCTCCGCGGATCCTCGTCCCCGGCTCCGGGACGGGGCTGCGGATCCGTTTTCTCCACCGCCCTCCTCGGCTCCGGCTGCCCCCTCCGGCCTTGCCCCGGCTGCCCCATCGGGTTGCCCAGCTCCTGCAGGTTTTCCTGCGCCCATGATCCTTTTTTGGGGGTGGCACGGCTGGGACGGTGGGGGACACCCAGCCCTTCTGGGCAGGATACGACGTGGCTCTGTGGGATCAGGGCAGAGGGCGCAAGTCCCACTCTTGGGCGCACAAGCCACCCTGGTGGACGCACATCTGCGGGTCTGTGCTCATCAGCGACCGCGGGTGGAGCTGGGACAAACCCCGACGTTCTGGGGTGGCAGCGCGGAGCCCTCCCCAAGCACGGCCACACCAGCCCCAGCAACCCAGCCCTGGAGGCCGCCTGGGGCGGACTCCACTGTACGCCCTGCGGGGACCCCAGGGACGGGACAGTCCGTGGCCCTGGCCCTGTCAAGGACCCTCGTCGCCTTTAGTGGGGGCCTCAACCAGCCCCTCCGTGATCTGCCACAAAGCCACGCAGCCACTCCCAGCCCCTAGGGCATAAAGGGGCACCCACGCAAGGAACAGGGGGAAGGTTTTTAAGGTGAGCAGCTGCAGGCCGTGGGTCCTGAGGATGGATAAGCTCTAGCTCTGTTTTTTTGGTGTGGGCTTTTTTGAATGTTTGCTTCTTTTTTGTTTGTTTGTTCTGTTTGGGTTGTTTTTTCTTTTTTGTTTTGGTTTGGGTTTTATTTGTTTTCCCAAGTCACTCGGTGAAGAGGAGGGATAAATACTGCCCGGAGTTCCAGCCCTGAGCAGCAAGGAAGCCAAGTGTGAACTCGCATATCAGGGTTATTTCCACAGCAAAGAGAGCAGATGCGCTTTCTGCGCACAGGCAACGGCAGGGCTGACTTTTGGAGTGGGAAGCTGCCAGGGGATGTCCCCTTGCCCAAACCCTCCCCGTAGTCATCACAGAACTGCGGGTCTGGACTGCTGCCAGGCCCGACGGCTGGAGCAGGTCCACTCAGTACAGACCTTTCCATGCCCCGACCTTCTGTTTACTTCACAGGGAGAAGGATGAGGTTGCCAACAGGCAGATGATGGCAAGGAGGAGTGGAGGGTGCAGAGGGGCCCCCCTCGAAATGACCCTCCTGCAGGAGAAAGGGCCGAGGCAGGCAGGTGGGAGCAGGGAGGCCTTGGAGCTGAGCCAGGCGCAGGTTGCTGAGCTCTCTTCTATTAGGCTTGACCTCGCAGCAAGCTTTTCACAGCAAAGCCAGCCTGCGGAGGCAGCCTGGGGCTGTTTCTCACCCACCTCTGCTTTGTATTTCCACTGGCAGGAAGGAGTTAATCCCCCCATACCCCCTCCCCCCCCCCCCCCGCTCCTGTTCACCCCCCAGGACAGATTTCACACTGTGTCCAGGTCAGCCAAAAAAGTGGAGGAAATGGAGAACAGCAGAATGATTAATTCTACCTGCTTTTCCCATGAGTGATCACCTGCTTTTGGGGTCATGAATAGCAGGTAGCTCCCTCCATCTCCAGCTCTGAGAGGCTCATTTGTTTGGTGACAGCTGAGTGACAAGACCTGAAATCCGAGCTCTCAACTTTGCCTGATGTGTGGATAAAACCCTGGATGTTCCCTCAAACATTTCAGGAAATGAAAGTTGTAATGCGATCCCTTGTGCGCCCACATCTTCCCCAGCAACACACAAAAGCTCAAAGGAACCTTCTCGGATTAAATTCAGCCTGCAGAGGATGGAAGGAAAATGGAGAGCAGGCTGAGAAAGCTGGAACTGGCAGGCTTTTCTTCAGCACTTATTGGAAATGTCTGTCCAGAGCAGGGATTTAGAAAGGTCACCTCTCCCGTAAGAGCCTCTTCCTCCTGCGGAGGCAGATGGGCAGCATGCTTCCCTCAGCCTACCTCCATGCTGGGGGCAGCCTGGAGTGGGGGTTAATGCTTAGATTCCCCAACCAGGAAATGCAGTGTATAAAACCAAACACACAGAGAGAAAGCCAGGCCCTCTTCCCCCCCCCCCCATTTTATTTCGCTGGTCACACCGAGCCAGCATCATGCCATGCATGGGCCTCACGCCTGCTCAGCCCTGCCCAGCTCCCCTTCCCTGCTGCCTCCCCAGCCCTGCAGAGGGGCAAGAATGGTCCTGATTTCATCCCCCACCATCCTGGGCCACGTGCTAGCAAATCCTGCACAGGGGCCCGCAGTGAGGAGCAGATGCTCGCTCAGCCAATGGATTTAAACACAGTACTTCCAGGCCTGGCTCCCTAAAGCCCGTGCATCCCCAGCTGCAATGGCAGGAGCCTGGAGCTGCGATGTGGTTAGGAGACCTTTGTGCTCTGTGACTTTGCAATTCGGGCCTGCTCAGCCAGACGTCGGGGCTTCATTCTGAGCACATAGGTTTGGAAATGTCAGCAGCTGGAATGAGGCAGGGTGTGCGATACAGGCAGGACTGGGCCAAGGCATCCAGACTCCCTCCTGGGTGGATGGTTTCATCAAGCTGCCTGTCACTAGGCAGCCAGCAGCTGCTTGTGCTGTTATCCAGCTTGAAGATAAAGTGCTATTTAACAATTGTTTAACTGTTACTGAAGTGCTTCAGACTCTGCAGATCTGTAAAGAAAACAGCACAGGCCCAAGATAACTCTTCACCTCTGAGCTTCCTGGTTACTCCTACTTTTCTCTGGAGAGCAGCTCACGGACACTGCACAGGCACAGATGGAAAACTTCCCTGCCTGCCCAGCCAGTACGCTTCTCTGCTGGTGGTTTTGCATCTGAGGAAGTGCCCACTGTAGGGTGATGCTGCCAGAGGCTGGGTGCTTGTGTACACCGCCTTCAAAGGGAGGTGGTTTAACCTGCCTGACACACGTGGATGCCATTAGCAGCAGCAGGAGCAATAAAGGTACAGCCAAAGCAGTACCTGGCCAGCCTGGCTGCATCAACCCATCTTCAAAGGTGGATTTTGCTATTCCTGCTGGGGCCGAAGCCGTCAGGTTTTCTGAGGGCACCAGGTGCTCTGTGGGAAGAGCAGAGGTGTCAGAGGCTGGGTCTACAGGAGCTTTGGTTCTTCTCAAGTGTACAAGGCAACCTGAGACACCCTCATCTTTCCCAACTGGACTTGGACACAATTCTAATTATGGAAATTTGCTTTAATCTTCAGATGGAGAGAGCAAATTACAAGGCTCCCCAGAGATTATCACCTCTTACCCCAACAGCAGTTGGAAGCTGTCTGGAAAGAGGGCACCAAGCTGAACCCCATCCCCTGCCACCCTGTCTTTCCTTCCAGCTGGATTTGTCATGGTTTCTAGCATTTGCTCCCACCTCTCCAGATTTTAAACAGAGGTTGAACTTTTTCTCAAGTATGCAATCTTAATCCTAATAATCAGGTTAAAGAGGCATATTTGGTTCAATTACGTTTTCCTGTTTTCACTTGTCCAGTGCTTTTGGAAAATGCCTCCACGGGCAGAGCAGCAGCTTCCTATCCCTGCCTCTCTATGGGCAGGGAAACTTCTCTTCCATAGCCTAGTTCTGCGAGGATCAGGGTTGCTTCGCTACAGTCTCAAATGTGCCCAGACTCTGATGGCTTTCAGCAGTGATAGAAAAGGTGTAGAAGATCCTCCCATCTGCTTCTTAGGATGGAAGAAAAGGGAAAAACTTTTTTTTTTTTTTCTGATTTAAGGATGGAAAAGCTTTTCAGCTAATGGCTGAAGTGTTTTGCATGAGGGGAAACTGAGACCCAGGAAGACGACAGGCCTGCTGAAGGTCAGAGTAAAGGCAGATGATGAAGCAGGAGGGGTGACTGCTGTGCACTGGTGGCTGGTGCTCCACGTGCCCAGAGCTGCCTCCCTTTATAGTCCCCATAATAAGTCAATGCAGCTTATCATTATGTAATACAATATTCCTAATAATACAAGACAAAACCAATTGACTAAAACACAATGCCAGACGAGGCTTGTGGCTAACACTCCCTGAAGAAATTGTCTCTTTTCTAGAATTAAAAAAAAACCAACCCAGCTACCCACACGAATTAGAAACAACTGAAAAATGAAATCACATCTGCAAGCCATCAGGATGCTTCTCCTGAGTCCCAAGGGATGCCTCTCCCTCTGCCACTCCTGCTGCCCTTGTATGGGGGGCTGGGTGTCACAGCTACCCGTACTGCTATCTGTGCGGGCATGGGAGGGATTCT